TTTTTTTTTTTTTTTTTTTTTTTGAGTTGGAGTCTCAATCTGTCACCCAGGCTGGAGTGCCATGGCACATTCACAGCCACTCCAGCGTCGACCTGCTGGACTCCAGTGATCCTTCCACCTCAGCCTTCCAAGTAGCTGCAATTACAGGTGCACACTACTGTGCCCGGCTCATTTTTTCTTATCTATTGTAGAGACAAGGTCTCACCAAGTGGTCCGGGCTGGTCTCGAACCTGCGGGCTCAGGTAATCCACTTGCCTCGGCCTCCCAAAGTGCTGGGATGACAGGCTGAGCCACTGAACCCGGCCCCCATACTACATTTCAAGGACATTTGTTTTGGTATCATGTCAAGGAGAGGATGGGTAAGTCCATCCAGAGACCATTTTTCTCCAGAACGCATCTCCGCTTCACTACCTAGCAAGTGGGAAAAGCCTGAGCAACTCCAGTGTGACTTTATCTTCTTCATTGCAACAATCACTCACAGTGGGGAAAATCCACCTTGAATTAAGCAGCAGGAATGACTTATTTTGGTCTAGAGAAGTTCAGCCATTAAGGATCTGTGTATGTAGGTGATTTGCGTAGTTTCTCAACATGTAGCGATGTACAAAGCTGATCTAAAGATCTTGCAAATTGTTTAACCACGTTCTAGATATTACTCTACCTTAAGTTTTCTGGCCAGTGAATTCTGTAATGACTTTGGAATGGGTTGATGCAATGAGGTCTTGGCAAAGAAAACTGCGCTGAACGTTAAAAGACGAAGAAGGTGCCGGGCTCGGTGGCTCAGCCTGTAATCCCGTGCCTTGGGAGGCTGAAGTGAGTGGATTGCCTGAGCCCGCGGGTTCGAGACCCGCCTGGGCAGGCGAGACCTCATCTCTACAATAAATCAAAAAATTAGCCAGGCGTGGTAGCGTGTGCCTGTAATTCCAGCTACTCGGAAGGCTGAGGCGGAAGGATCGCCGGAGCCCAGCAGGTCGAGGCTGCGGTGGCCGGGAGTGGCCACTGCACTCCAGTCTGGGCGACAGAGTGAGACTCCAACTCAAAAAAAAAAAAAAAAAAGACTAAGAAGGTTCCTTTGGATACATTTCAAAGTATTGGGATTTCAAAAGACCCCAAAGTAATCATCATTTTTGTCCACCACTTAGAACAAAAATTTGTACTGTTTATATAAACCTGGACGATCATGGGCTAGGTTCCACGCTGCTAGGACCACTTTGTTGCCGGAGTCTGACCGTGCCAGGTATGGGCATCCAACAAGTCTCTCTCTCTTTTTCTCTCAGCCCTCAAGTCTGGACGACAGAAGAGGTAGCCGCCCCCGATCCATGGTGCGATCCTTCACAATGCCTTCCTCCTCCCGGCCTCTGTCAGTGGCTTCCGTCTCTTCCCTCTCATCTGACAGCACCCCTTCCCGGCCAGGCTCCGATGGGTGAGTCGAGTTCAGCGGCAGAGAGTGCAGCAAGGGCTTTGGGGAAATCTTTGAGGAACTGTCCATGGCCTTGAGTTTCTTTGATCACAACTGAGAATTTTTTGTTCGTCCAAGTTATCTTCAAGACTAGGATGACAGTTGCCCAATATTACTTTTGAGGTGTTGCGGGTTGCTGAGAAAAAAGTGTTCATTCTGGGTACCACTTTGGGTAAGGTTTCCATCAAATTTTAAAACTTTCAGTTTTCAGTCCTCTTCAGCGTGTCTTAGAAGAAACGTGATGCATTCCCTGCTGCCGTGAGCTTTGTACTTTTCTGTTTTTCTTTCTTTCTACTTGACTCGACTCGACTCGACTCTCACTCTGTCACCCAGGCTGGAGTATAAGTGGTGCCATTTCAGCTCACTATAACCTTGAACTCCCAATCTCAAGCAGTCCTCCCACCTCAGCCTTCCAAGTAGCTGGGACTACAGGCACGTGCCACCACACCTGGCTTTTTTTTTTTTTTCTTTGTAAAGATAGGGCCTTGCTATGTTGCCCAGGCTGGTCTTAAAACTCCTAGGCTCAAGCAGTCCTCTTGTCTCAACCTCCCAGAGCGCTGGAATTGTAGGCCACCTTGCCTAGACTGTCACTTTTCATTTCATGTTCACCTCCAGGGTGTGATGCCAGGGCAGTGGCTGATGTGGTCTGGGAATGAGGCGTCCTCTGCAGTCTGTCGACTGCACCGTCCCCATCAAGCCAACTATCACACAGAGTGGGGCTTACATGACGGCTGGCTAGAGACCACCACCGTCTGTTGATTGTTTTTTGGGGGGAGGGGGGTGGGGTGGACTTTTTATTTGTTTGATTTTATTTCTGGTAAGGCTTCTTGCCTTTTAAAGAGAAAGGCTGTTTAAGTGAATACTTCTGAGAATGATCAACTGTGCCCTGCTTTCTAGGACCACAATGAAAAATATGAGGTGTATTGTCCTTTTTTAAAAAAAAAATTATTGTGGTAAAATACACGACATAAAATTTATCATCATAACCATTTTAAGTGTACAGTTGAGTGACGTTAAGTACGTTCACATTGCTGTACAACCATCACCATCATCCATCTCCAAAACTTTTTTATCTTGTAAAACTGAAGCTCTGTACCCATGAAACACTAACTCCTCCTTCTCCTTTCTCCCCAGCCCGAGGCAATGGCCACTCTCTTCTCTGTCCCCATGATTTTGGACTATTCTAAGCACCCATGGGCCACCTTCTTTCTACAAGACCACTTTGGAGACCCATTTTTGCTCTTGAGTGCCTCACAGCACCAAGTGGCTGAGAGGAAAGCAAAAACTTCCTAGTTAGAAAAAAAATTCATTGAGCACTCACTGTGGCTCTTGCATTAGCTCAGATTACTGCAAAGAGAACTGCAATATTGATTTTGTTTGTTTGTTTTTGAGCAGCGGATATGTAAAGTTCGTTCTTATTATACAAAAAGAAAAATTGTTGCGTGCCATGTAAACATCAGAGAAGAACTTCTAATTGTTTTATTGCCAAGTTTGCACAGTTGTGTGTTTGCCCAATCTCATTTTGTTTACAATCCATCATTCTCTCCAACCTGCAGGCTCCTGGTCCCTTTGACATGCAGGCACAAACTTCTAGAAATCCCCCAAGGGGCAGCTCAACTCTAAGTGCCCTTTGTTGCCAATGACTGATGTGCTCGATGGAGAATTGCAAACTATACACACATTTTTCCTAACAGTAATTTTTATCAGTGTCTGATACTTAAAAGGCCAAGTCCATATGGAAATTCTCAATTTAGGGGCATTTAAATCATGTGTGCTTGTCACTTAGAGCAAGATTGCTAAAGAAATTTAATTCAATTTCTCCCCAAGAAAATCTCCAGGCTAGTTATGAAAAGGTTTTTATATTTCTAAGAACACAGGGGTTAGGGTAGAAAATGATGGATGGAGAGGTTTTAGATAGAAGAGTGGCATATTGCACATGTGAATACACGAGCTCAGGAAGTCAGCTCCTCCCCAGGAGACATTTGTTTAACCTTTAACTAGAAGGCATCTTTATTACAGTCCGGATTTTTGTTCATTCTCGGGGTTACCACCCTTCGCCATCTAACTAATATGAAGAAAATGAGACTTTGGTCTCAAATGGCACAGGTCACATGCAGAATAAAGTTCATCTTGTAGGCAGTTGCTTCTCATAATGTGAAAAATTTAAAATTCAACCTGTCTTTCTCTCACTTCTTTGTATACTCACCAGGATTTCACAGCATAGGTCTTCTCTTGAGCTGATCCAATTTTTACTGCATTAATTATCTCAAGTTCTGCAAAACTAAGAACAAAATCATGAGAATGTTTGGTTGTTGCCTATAATATAATAGGTACAGTAGATATAATATTTAATACCTAATGTATATTGATTTATTGGTTAAAGTATATCCAGTTGGAAAAGTCCAGGTATTTCAAAATGACTTAATGATCTAAGTTAATCCTGGCATATTCTATTTAATTTTTTTAACATTTTATATAGAAAAATTTCAGACATATGCAAAGTAGACAGAACAATGCATAATGTAATAACAGTATAATGTATAATAGCATAGTGAGGCCCGAATGCCCTCTCCGTCAGCCTCGGCAATTATCAGCTTTTAGCCAGTCTTGTTTCAATCTCTGTCCCACCCACTCATTCCCCATATTGTATTATTCAGAAAATCTCAAGTATCATATCGTTTTATCCATAGATATTTCAATATGAATCTCTAAAAGGTATGGACCCTTTTTTTGAAAACATAATTGTATTACTTTCTATAAACTATGGCAGTGCACACTTATGTAACACTTAAAATATTAATAATATGAATTTCGTATTATCATAATACATTCGTGTTAATTTTCCATTGTCATAAATGTCATTTTTAAAAATGTGTTTGAGACAAGATCCAAATAAGGTTCTCACCATGCATGTGGTTGATATTATGTCTTGAAGTCTCTTTTAATCCACTTTTTTTCCTTATAATATATTTGTTGAAAAATCTACATTGCTTATTCTGTCATGTTCTCCACTGTCTGGATTTTGCTAATAGCATGCCCTGCAGCATTGTTTGATGTGTGTCTCTATGCTCTGTATTCCCTGCATATTGATAGTTGAATCTAGAGGTTTGATCAGATTCAGGTTTGATTTGGACATAAAATCACTTCATAGGTAGCTGTATGTTCTTCCATTCAGAGATACATCTTATCTGATTCTCTCTCTTTGGGTGATGCTAACAGCTATTGGTAATCAATGCTTAGATTCAATACCATTGCTGTTTAAATCATGTATATACCTTAACAATAGCCTGTCGTACACAGCCATGTTAGATGGAGAGAAGATATGATTCTTGCTTTCAGCAGTCTGTGTCTTCAGTGGACTTTAAATGCAGCTTTGTGAATGATGCTTCCCGTCCTAATCCATCTCAATATTGATTTTCATGTTACATGTCCCATATTGGGAAGCAAGGTTGCTATAATGGCCTTCTTAACTGAAGCAGTGGTTTTGTTCCAAATGCCCTATTCCGAGACAAGTTCAAGAGAAACCACAGCTAGAGTGATAATGGGACTGGCTCACTACATTTTCTTCTCTTGAATTCATTCTCTCCTGGAAACGCCACTTTACTCTCCAGGTAGTCAAGGAAGTCAGGCTAGAAAGTCGCTATAAGGGCTGGGAGCTCCAAAGAGCTGGCTCTAGTTTGAAAATATAAGATCCTAGTAACAACGAAACTGTACGCGGGAAGGATGCTCTAGTTTTTCAGGCATGTTTCTACCTTTTCAAAAGGTAGAAAAGGTACCGTTTATCCATTTGGTCCTCTCTACTCACTCTTTTCTTACAGCAAGAGCAGCAGGGGATGACACTCCGATCTTAGACCTGGATCCATTTCGTCCCCCTCCTGGTATGCCTTCCTACGATGAGATACAGGAAGGACATGCCAACCTAGCATTAGAACGGCAAACCACAGTTGTGTGTGGATGTGTGTGCACACACGCGTCCACACTAACTTTTTGGCATATGCCTTAGAAACCAGCCCAAATTCACTTACTCAGTGGTCTGACCAGTAACACATTTTTACAGCATCTGTTTAATGTCTGTAGGCAGATGGGTGGTGGTGTCCTCATCCCTTGTATCCGTAAGAACACCAAGCTCACAGATGTTAAGAGGACACCAAGGACCCCTCACAGGTGGCAGAGCTAGAACTCAGATCCTCTCTCTCTAGCTCAGTTTTCAGCTGAAAGCCTGAGGCCATCTCCAAGTACCTGCGAGCTACAATTAGCCTGCTTCTGACCAAGCCATCCAAAAGGCTGTCGCATAGAGGCAACCCATATGTTTGTAATCACAGAAACTTGACCAAAATTAAGGTACCAGGAATTTCTTGACATTGGCATCTGCCTGTTTTTCTTCATTGCATTTGTGAATGTTTCAATATAAATTTTTAAAAAGTGACAATTCCCCTTTTGAAATCTACCCAAAATACCGTCGTAAATCAACAATAATTCCTTAATATCATCCTTGAATATCCGGTCAGACCTCCCATTTACCCTAGTGTCCTATAAGTTTTATCATTTTCATGTTTGTTTTTATTGAGATCCAAACCCATTTCTTACTGTTGGTTACTGTATATCTGAGATTCCCCCCAGCCTCCCTTTCAAATCATTTCTTTCCCTATAAAAGTCTGCAATTGCCAGTCAGCACTTAGATGTGCTGTGAGTGACTTTACATATGTCTGCGGGGAGAAAAGCAGCTGCTCTCCTATTAAGCCGTCATTGATTTAAAGAGACATTTCCTATAGGTTTGCTCTGGAGCCTCTCCTGCCGAAGAAAATGCACTCCAGGTCACAGGACAAGCTGGACAAGGATGACCCGGATAAGGAGAAGAAGGACAAGAAGAAGGAGAAGAGGAACAGCAAGTATCAAGAGATAGTCGATAAAGAATTTAAACCCACTGACATTCCCCTGCAGCAGTCTGAGGCAGTGATCCTTTCAGAAACGGTAATCTAGCAGGGGATCTCTCCTCACTCTGCAGTAGCTTCTGGGACCCCCTCACCTCCGTATTTAGCCAACAGGACTGTCAGTTGGATTTTGTTTAACTTGCAGTAAGATAGTAACATGAAAACCTGGTATTGCCGGGCTCGGTGGCTCAGCCTGTAATCCCGCGCCTTTGGGAGGCTGAGGTGAGTGGATTGCCTGAGCCCCCGGGTTCGAGACCCATCTAGGTAGCGAGACCTCAACTCTACAATAAATCAAAAAATCAGCCGGGTGTGGTAGCGCTCGCCTGTAATTCTGGCTCCTCGGAAGGCTAAGGCGGAAGGATCGCCGGAGCCCAGCAGGTCGAGGCTGCGGTGGCCGGGAGCGGCCACTGCACTCCAGTCTGGGCGACAGAGTGAGACTCCAACTCAAAAAAAAACAAAAACCTGGTATCATCTCAACCTAACCTTGAATAATCAAGGTTATTATGTAGGAAGGGCAATAAGACGCAGAATAGGCTCATCTTTGAATTCATCTTGCAGTCCAAAGTGGCCCAGTTCAGGGCCACCAAGGCCCACATATTTTTAGATTCTGTAGCTTGATTAGACTCTGTTCCAACATATGTCCTCATATCTCAGAAGATGAATAGGAATACTTTTGTTGTCGGAAAACAGTCCTCCATGTCAGCTGAGCAATTAATGCCTTTCTTTTACCCCTTGCTGACTGGAAATCTCTAAGCAAGTTACTGCCCAAGAGTTAAGGTCTGCTCAGTTAGAATCCACAGACTCCTTTCCATGGGGCCCCACCAGCTGGACTCAGTGTTGGGTCATCCTCTCTCTCATCTGCTCCACGTTTAAACCCTTTGGCCATCTTTCAGAAGGACTTATAGGGACTTGACATGACACGTGCTTGTGAGCTGACATTTAAAGTGGATCCTGATAAGCCTTGTTCATTCCCCAGACCTGGGCTCATGAGGGCAGTGAGTCTGTGAAGCAGGCTCTCATCCAGGCCTAGGCCTGGGGGCTGATCCTCCCAGAAGTGCACCAACCACCCTGTTGGGGGTCTGAGTACAAACATAATCCCAGGCTGCTTCTGGGGAGGACTTGATTCAGAAAGCGCATCTAGACTGGAAACAAAAACAAAGAAGAGATTCTCACAGGCTGTTGGTGTCCAAGGCAAAGCCAGGCTCAGAGCCACCTTCCCCTAGAAATGGGTAGACACTTGTCTGTCCAGTAGCCAAGGATGCACCTGCTCCGAGCAGTTGCCCATGACCTAGCCAGCTCTATCTGGGCTGTTATTAAAGGATTCCTTGCTAGGAGGGCTCAAATGGACCACCTTTTAATAAGACATACTGTGCTGCTTGTTTCTAGCTTAAAAACTAGGCCGGGCTCAGTGACTCAAGCCTGTAATCTCAGCACTTTGGGATTGCACAGGGGATTGCCTGAGCCCATGGGTTCAAGAACAGCCTGGGCAACTTGGTGAGCCCTCATCTCTACAATAAATCAAAGAAATAGCCGGATGTGGTAGTGTGCACCTGTAGTTCCGGCTACTTGGAAGACTGAGGCGGAAGGATCGCCCGAGCCCAGCAGGTCGATGCTGCGGTGATGGTGAGCATGCCACTGCACTCTAGCCTGGGCAACAAAGTGAGACTCCAACTCCAAAAATAAATAAATACATACATACATATATATCTTAAAAACCAGGGTCTGTGTTCATCTAGACCGCATGCCCCTCAGACAGAAGTCACATGCTGCATGGTTTTCTAGAGGTACAAGACAGATGCCAGAGATATGACATGGTGGCAAACAGGCGAATGCTCCTCAGAGGCCCATGGACGTGTGCAGTGGCTTTTGCTAGGTGGAAGAGTCTCTATACAACATGAAGATGTCGGGGCCAGGGAAGTCACTGCCGAGAGGCTGGCATGAAGTACCCGGGTGCTCAGCCTTTAGCAGTGGAGTTGAGGGGTTTCTGATGAACCTCCTTGCATTCTCTGTCCTCTCTTCAAGAAAGTTGGGATGCCTGGCTTCCCCAGGCCAGGCTGAGATCTCCGTCTCAAGTCCTAGGTAGCTTTCTCGAGTCTCAAAACATCATAACTTAGGTGAGGGAATTAGCAGAAGCGTTTTAATACTTACTAACTGCTAGACACTGTATAAGTCTTTCATACATTTCTATTTAAGTTCCATTTTAAAATATTACAGCTGAACCCAGCCCCAAGGGATGAGGAGGGAAAGCCTTGCAGAAGCTCTGACACAGGCCCTGGTGTGAGGGGAAGGACAATTGCTCTGGGGGGGAGGTGGCATTGCCCCTAGGAAATGGGACCTCAGAGAAGTGCCAAGTGGCAGAGTTGATCACAACTGAGTTGTGCATACCAGGCACTGAGCCAGTACAGAGTACATTTTGGTTCCTGCCCATGGGGGTCCAGACTCCCTGATAGGACACCTGCAAAGGACAGGGCCAGGGCAGAGCCATGTCAGTTTCCCCAGCCCCATGGCTAGACCTGAATGCCCTCAGCAAACCCACAGGACTCAGCAAGGTCAGAGCACAGAAGCTTGGCCTGGCTGTCAGCATCTGACCCAGTCTCAGAATGACCACAGCTGCAGCACCTGGAAGCCAGGAATCCTGACCTCCATCCAGCTTGGCTACCTGTCAGTCTACATTGGGGTCTCTTCCTGCAGGAGACAGGTGCTGCCAAGGTCTGGGAGGACAGGCAGGCCCCTGGAGTTTCCTAGCAGGCCTCCCTGTGCCTGTGACCAGCCGTGCACCACAGGACAGGACAGGTGGGAGGAGGGTCACTGGAACAGAAGCAGCAACCCATTTCCTAGGGGCAATGCCAGCTCCCTCCCAGAACAATTGCCCTTCCCCTCACACCAGGGCCTGTGTCAGCGCTTCTGTAAGGCTTTCCCTCCTTACCCCTTGGGGCTGGGTTCAGCTTCCAATTTGATTTGCATCATCAAGAATTTCATGACCTTTAGGGAACCTCTCCAGGCTGCAATTACCATCTTCCCAGGATAGCCCCCTTAGGCCTCTGAATGGGAAAGCGTTGTCATGGGATGGCAGGGAAGGAGGAGAGAAACACCCAACCGTCCCTGAATCCTTATTGCCAGCCCCCGGGCACATTTGACCTCAGAATCCAGTGCTTAGCCCGGCATTTCCAGACTCCTCACTGCCGTTCTGCCACCTGGAACAAGGTCATTTCTGCAGAGGAGGCACAGCACCTGGGTACCCGGCTCCCCTGTGAGCACAGGATCGTTCTGGAAGTAGGTCTGTTGGCATGGTCCTGTGTCACTCATGTTCCAGAGGGCCTGACTCTTCCTCTCAAGCCACGGGCCCATTTCTTCCTTCCTGCCTGGGTAGCCTCCAGATTGACCCTGACTTGGCCGACCTCTTTTAGGACACATACTGCAGCCAGCTTGCCCTGTTGTTCCCCCAGACTGGCACAGCTCACCCACCAGGCCCGGATCCAGCCACGGCACCAGGCTCCTCCTGGGGGGCAGTGGGGAGGTCTCTCCTTCAGGGCTGAGTCAAAAAATTTTCTAATTACTCCTACCTGTGAGTATTTTATAATTGCTTATGCTTCCCCGGGCCTAATGATCTGAGACCAAGTTGAAAGAAATATATAAATAATATGTACCAACGTAACACAGGCAGGGAAAGGGCTTAGGCAGGGGAAAGTCTAGGGCCTTCAAAAGCCAGAGACAAGCAGGAGAAATGTAGGGGAAAAGAGAGGAAAGTAATCCCTACATGGTAAGGACAAAGCATGTGAGAAGAAGGAGAGGAATAAAGAAAATTCTTCCCTAAGTTCCTAGACATCTGCATGCGTGCCAAGGAAGACCGAAATAGGGTGGGCTCATGTGGGGAATTCTGGAGCAGAGCAGGCCATTTATTCCATTCTTGACCCTGGCTGGTCACCCTCCATGCTCTCGCTGGGCCACTGCACAGCTGACAGCCACATTCAGCCACGTTTGCATTTATATTCACGAAACGGGTGTGCTGGCTGCCTCAGGCTACGTAAGTAGAGCACCATAGGCCCTGATCCTTGGGGTAGGGCTGCATAACAGAGCACCGCGTGCTGGACAGCTTCAACACCAGAGATTCCTTGTCTCACAGTTCTGGAGGCCAGAAGTCCAAGGTTGAGGTGTGAGCAGGTTGTCTGCTTCGGAGGCCGTGGGGAAGCGTGGGTTGCCCATCTGTCTCCTAGCTCCTGGGGGTTTGCTGGCAGTCTTCAGCATTTCTTGGCTTGTAGACGGGTCATGTAGATCTCTGCATTCATCTTCACACTGGACATGGCAGTGTCCAAACTTCCCTCTTCGATCAAAACACCAGTCCTAGCGGATAAGGGCCCGCCTTAGTGACCTCGTCTTACCTTGATCACTGGCTAAGACTCGATTTCCAGAGAAGGTCACATTCTGAGGTCCTGGGCTTCAGGACTTCAACACAGGAATTTCCAAGACAACATAACTCGGCCCATAACTGACCCTGACTGTGCTCTTTCTGTCCTTACTGTCACATAGATAAGCCCCCTGCGGCCCCAGAGACCGAAGAGCCAGGTGATCAACGTCATCGGGAGTGAAAGGCGCTTCTCAGTGTCTCCATTGTCACCCTCCTCCCAGCAAACTCCCCCTCCGGTCACACCAAGAGCCAAGCTCAGCTTTGGTTTGCAGTCCAGTAAGTGGAACATTCTCCATATCTAATTCATGGTGTTGTTTCATGGCTTCCCCTTGATTGAAGACTCTAAAGTTAGAAGAACCTCCCTCACTTGCAGCCGAGAGAATGAGTTTAGATGAGCACCTCACTTATTGGGCTGTGGTGACCAGACCTCAGTAAATCAAGCCCAAATCCAGTCCCCAGTGCTCAACCTGCAGAAGGTGTGGGATACGTCCCGGGTTCTCACCCTCCTCCAGTGGGTTATCACAGCCCGTTTTGCATTATCAGGACTCTGAGCCACAGAAAGCCTCGGGCCTCCTTGTGTCCCAGAGGAATGTGCAGTGGAGAAGCACTCCCAGGCAGTTTGGAAAGGTTGAGGGACGTAACTTATTTTCCTGGTTTTGACCGAATTCCTGGACTGCCGTGACAAGTCAGCACAAACCCGGTGACTCCCAACAACAGAAATGTATTCTGTCACAATTCTGGAGGCCAGAATTCTGAAATCGAGGTATGGGCAAGTTGGTTTCCTCTGGTGGCTCTGAAGGAGAATCTGTTCCGTGCCTCTCTCTGAGCTTCTGGTGGCTTCCAGCGACCCCTGGCATTCTGTGGCTTGTGGCTGCATCACTCCAGTCTCAGCCTCTGAGATGTGGCCTTCTCCCTTATGTCCTCTCTCTCCTTCCTCGAAGGACACCAGTCATTGGATCTAGGGTCTACTGTACATCCAGGATGATCTCATCTCGAGAGATTTAACTGATTACGTCTGCAAAGCCCCTGTGTCCAAATATTTTTTAGTATTCAAAACAGGTACCATCACGGAAAACAATTGGGTGGTGGTTCCTCAGAAGTTAAACCTATGGCAGTCCAACCCAGCAATCCCACTCCTAGGCCTGTACCCCCAAAGATTTGAAAACAGGGACTCAAACAGATAATGTTCATAGCGACATTATTCACAAGAACCAGGAGGTGGAAACAACACAAATGTTTATCACCTGATGAACACGTAAACAAAAGGGCATCGAAAGAAATAGCCACGTAAAAGAATATGATTCAGCCATAAAAGACATGAAGTTCCGACATACGCTACAATGTGGGTGAACCTGAAAAAACATTGTGCTGCGTGAAATAGACCATTTACAAGAGGGCAAATATTATGATTCTACTTAAATATCTAGAGCAGGCAAATTCCTAGTGACAGAAAAGAGAAGTTACCGGGGGCTAGAAGGAGAGAGGTTCGGGAAGTTATTATTGAATGGAGACTGACTTCCTGTTTGGGGTGATGGAAATATTCTCAAACTAGACAATGGTGATGGCTGCACACCATGGTCAGTGCAGTCAGAGCCACTGAATCGTACACGAAGAGAGAGCTAGAATGACACATCTGATGTCATGTCTGTTTCAACCACAGTAATGGCAAACAAACAGGCGCCAATCACCAGGACAGTAACTGTCAAAAGGCTCCTCCCTGTCCCCCTCAATTCCATGGCCAAGCTTCCTTACTAACTGACACAACTCTCTTCCTAGGAAGCATTTTTCTTAATGAAGCATTTTTCATCAGATGGCTCCTTGGGGGAAAAGTCCAAAAGAGATGCAGCCATAAAAAAATATCCATTCTCCCCTCTTTACTATAAAAGAAAACAAATTATTTCTAAGATTCTCCGTGAGGGTTGAGAAAATATCCTGCCTTAATGATTATTCCTCCTGTTGAAAACAGCCGCTTTTTTCTTTTTTTGATTTTTCAAAAATCAATTGTACTTCCCCTCGGCTTATTTAAAGCAACAGCCACGGCGACTGCTGCTGCTAATAACTTCATTTTGTATGATTGTGGGTTTTCCTGTGGAGCGAGATTTGAAGGCAGGCGGCTGTTGGGACGCCACAGTGTTAGACTTCTCTTAGTGAAGCTCTCCAGGTGACGACGGCCGGGGGCTGACTAAAGAGTCCGGGCTGGGCTTTGAGAGTGGCAGTGTAGACAGTCTTCGTGGCGCCCAGCTGTCAGATGCCACCGAGGCGAGGGGGCCTGAGGAGAGATCAGAAAGGGCTGGCCTGACATGACTGCTTTTGCAGTGGATTGATGCCTTGCTTTCTGCTCTTTCTAGAACATTGCCATCAGGAGGGCATCCCACCTCTGGTGTTCTCCCCTTCCCTGGTCTGTTGACACACGTGGCTGGGGAATACAGGGTTTCTGCCTTCCCTGCCTCCCGGGAAGAGAACACAGCAGTGAGGCTCAGTGGGGAGGTCAGGCTGATTTTAAATCGATCCCGGTTTTCCAGGCTTGGAGCTGAACGGCATGACTGGGGTGGAAGTGGCCGACATCCCACCCCCTCTGCCTCTCAAAGGCAGCATGGCGGATTACGGGAATTTGATGGAAAACCAGGACTTGACGGGCTCGCCAACACCTCCTCCCCCTCCTCCACACCAGAGGGTAAGTCGGGAATCTGAAACGTGGGTGTTTTTTATTACTTCCCCTCCGCAAAACAGGAAGCCCTCGTTCCAGATACGAGAGGGTTCGAGTCAGGCTAGGGAGCACATGAGAAAAATTGTAGGATGGGCCTAGATTTGATTTTGAGAAAGGATGTCAAAGCGATAAGGACTCCGGGAGGTAAGATCCATGGTTCCACATTATGATCGGTGAATGCATCCAAAAGCTCATTTCGACATAGTGCCTCAGAACGAGGAAGAGAAAAATAGGTGTTCCAGATGGTTGTCATGGGTTGTCATCACCGTGAAGGTGCTTCCACTGGAGACGCAGTTCTTGTGAAATGTTGATTTTTTGAGCAGAAGCTTTCCTATCAAGAGAAGTGTCTGACTTTTTTTTTTTTTTTTTTTTTTTGAGTTGGAGTCTCACTCTGTCGCCCAGACTGGAGTGCAGTGGCCGCGCTCGGCCACCGCAGCCTCGACCTGCCGGGCTCCGGCAGTCCCTCCACCTCAGCCTTCCAAGTAGCCGGAATTACAGGCATGTGCTACCACGCCTGGCTGATTTTTTGATTTATTGTAGAGATGAGGTCTTGCTGCCCAGGCGGGTCTCGAACCCGCGGGCTCAGGCAATTCGCTCACCTCAGCCTCCCAAAAGCACGGGATTACAGGCTGAGCCACCAAGCCCGGCGTGTCTGACCTTTTAAAACAAGCCAAGATCACCCTGTATGGGAGGCAACGCCCCGGTCATACACCCGCTTGACTCTTGAGAAGCTCATATCCAAATGGTTCCTTCAGGCAACACCACTCTGATGCTGGGAGCTCCTGGGGGGTGACAGGAGCTCATGGAGAATCTACAGAGGGCCAAGTTTGGACTTCCTTGGAAGCTCTGTTTTCATCATAAATCCTGCCTGATGTGCTTCTTCTGAGTAGCCTACGTACCAAGGCAAACTTTACTAAAAGTGTCTAAAAGCCATTTAAAAGAGCCTCTGTTATACCAGCTGAAAGTTCTAGAAACCTTTTCAGATCCAGCCTGTTTCCTGGTTCTCGAGACTACCATCATGTGACACCCCTGCTGTTCCAGCCATCCTCTTTTGTTTGTGCCAGGCCTGCATGGAAGGCAGAGTGCTCAGGGAGGCATGCCAATGACACCCACCCAGCAGTGGCGGGAGCACATACTTCCAGGGTCAGCCCTCTCCAAGCCATGTCACTCACGGCCTTGGCAAATTAAATCAGTGCCGTCTGAGGCTTGAAACGTCCCTGTTCAGATCTGTAGCTGGTCATGTTTTTTGCTCTCCAGCCTCAATAAAGTCATTATATCGCCACAAAACTCCTGTAGAGCACTGAAGATTTGAGGTTGAGGGATGACTCTGGTTTTTTTTTTTTTTACATAACGGTGGGGCGTTTTGTTTTTGTTTTTGTTTTTCTCTTTAATAAACAATATCAATTCTACATGCCATTTCTTTCTCTTTTTTTTTTTTAAAGGCAACTTGTCCACAAGTGCTCTGAAAGGTTATTATCGCTCTTTTTATGAGAAGAATGGGAGAGAGGGATGTTTACTTACAGTATATGCATGTGATTATTCCTTTTATTTCAGAAAACTAAACAAGCAGAAGGACTGCATCTTTACATCAAAGGGAGAGATTGCTCTTCTGAGACCCAAGTGCTGCTGAAATGGGCTCTGTCTCCCTAGAGACCCTAGGGTAGAGACCTCTTACCCTAGGAAGAGGGTTTCCCAGGAGGCCGGAATGCTTTGTTGCCCTTCAGAAATGTAGCCTGGCCTTCCCTGAGTACTGTATGTGAGAGCAGAAGGAGATTTAGGAGTCCAGCAAGAACACTGCATTTGTGGATTTGTGGGGGTACTATTTTACTCACAGCTGAGTTAATCGCTCACATCTTTATTTTCATCTCTATTTTATCAGAAAAGCAGGAATGTCCCCCTGGTCTCCCTATACTGGGCAGCTGAAAATTCTGAACTTGGAATTACAACCAGCTTCATTTTTGTTACAGATCAACTCGGAGGTAGCATTTTGTTGTCTCGGTTTCTTGGATGCGTCATTCTAGGTTACTGATGCCACATGTTGTTGATTAAGTAAGGGACTGATGTACCAGCTTTGGCTCAATTTATCAAAGGGGTGTGGATTCTATTAGATTAACCACCTGAGTATCTTTGGTATTTGTTTTTTGTGGTATTTACTTGCAGCATGAGGGCGTTTTCAGGGGACACACTGGTGGTTAGTATATCATAATTAGGCGGAAGCAGTTGAGTTTCCTGGGGTGCCTTCTTTGCTCAGGCCCCGAGAGCTGTTTTAGGATAATGATTATCTGTCTGCCATGGGGGGTGATCAATATCCTCCTGTCACTCTCATTGATCGGCCTCAGGCTTGTAGGCGACTCTGTCTCTGGTTGTTGCTACTTTAAGCTGTCATTCCTTTCAAAATGGCTCTTCTCCCCAGTAATCTGAGCTATCATTTTGCTTAATGGCGATAAACCTGACATGCTTATATTTGGCGCAAAAGTCATCTGCAGCATTGTGTTGGTATCAGACCACGTGGGTCTGGTCTCTAACTGCCCCCCACTAGGCGATCGGGGTGGCTTTCACATGTAAACAAACGACTTTTTCGGTCCTCGAAGTAGGTATCTCTTGTAACTGTTCTTACCAACCTGAAAAGCACTTGTGAGTCTATTAATTGGCTTTTTGTAAAAAATTGTGTCCTATACTCTTATAATATTATGGGATCAGTTTTCTTTTTCTACATTTATTCTCCCCTCCATGTTAAGCAGTAGGTCATTTTTGTCACTGTCTGTCCTTAGAAACTTCCTTTCTCAAATTTAGCTAAATGTGAACCTCCGCCGAGAAGCTGTTAAAAATTCATTCTTATCCTTCAGTGAGAGGGTAGTGTTCTGTGAATTTATCCTGGCTCCTTCTCCCTATGGTATACTTCCATGTACCCTCATCTGTTCATTTGTTCATTCATTTCTTCATTTATTTACTTATTCATTCGTTCACGTTCTCATTCGCTCGTTAACGTTCCTGTTTCGTTAGCCCATATGTACAGAATATCTCTTGCATGCCAGTCTCTGTGATGGGCATGAGAGTACCAGGAGCAGTAAGGTAAGGTTGCCCTCCAGCATTCACACACGGCAGGTTCTTCGAGCGGGGTTTTTTCTGTCACCTTTACATTGGAAATTCATGTTCTTTCTGGTGAATCTAAGGCAGTTCAGGGCTTGTGGGCCAAATCCAGCCAACCACCTCTTTTTGTAAGTAAAGTTTCCATGCCCCTTTCTTTACCCCCTGTCTGGGGCTGCTTTGTAGCTGCATCAAGAGAGTTGAGTCACTGCTACAGAGATCATGTGGCCTGCTGAAAACATTCACTGTCCAATCCCTTTCCAGGAAAAGTGTGCTGGCCTTTGCTCTCAGTTCAGAAGGCGAGGGAAGGTCTCTCCTCTCACCCCTGGAAAGCATCTCCAAAGACTTTGTGTGTTCCTTGGACAATAGATCGATAGCCAGATCGCTAGCCCCTAGGTTGAAAGCAGCCACACAGAGAGCAGTGGTATTTCTCAGGGGCTGTGCAGACCTTGTGAGATGTACTGAGAGATATCAGGAAGTCCCATGGCTGCAGTCTTGAGCATAGCAGACCCGCCAGCCCTGAGTCAGGCAGGATGGAGTCTGAGTCACGTGGAGAGACTGTGCCAGATCAGACCCACCTGGAGACGGTTTCTTTGCTGTCAGAGCATCAGCAATGTGATATCTTCCTCATTCTCATGTTTTCTAGCATCTGCCGCCTCCACTGCCCAGCAAAACTCCACCTCCTCCCCCTCCAAAGACAACTCGCAAGCAGACATCAGTGGACTCTGGGATCGTGCAGTGAAAACAGCAACGCCATCTGGAAAGAGCAAGCTGGCATCTGTCCTCTTCCTCCACGTCTTCTGGGTCTGGCATTTACCTCATTGGGCCTGTGACGTCTAACATTTAGTGCAATTGCTTTTCCTTCAGAGGAATCCATTTCTAGCCACGGAGTGTGTGGCCCTTAGCATCATGGAGCTGGTGGTTGTGGGTCGGGAAGTGCCGTTGTCTATCAAAGTCAGGGATCTCTGAGTGCGTCCGTGTCTAAGAGAGCCTGTCTTGCCCATCCTTTCTTTTTGTGCCAAATAAGTTGTATTTGCAAAGAGCTCAACTGATCTGAGTTTAGCCGAGTGGGAGAGGCTAGGATGTTACCCTTGAGAAGCTGTGTAATGATGTGTGAAAATCCTTATTTTTTCTATAGGCCAAAACCCTAGCTGGCTTTCACGGGATGTTTTATCAATCTCCTCCTTGTTGCAATGGGTAGTGTGACTTTTTATTGGTTCAGTCTACATCAGACACATAAGTTCCACCCTCTCGGGGAAGTTCCTGATTTCCCTTGGTGTAACTTAAAATATGATATTTCTCAGCTACTGAACAGTTGCTAATTTATGGAGTGGAAACACCATTAAGAATACTGAATCAAGTGGAAAGATAAATGAATATAGAAAGATAAGTTTTCACTCTTTTTCGAAAAAGATATGTATGCCACAAGAGATGGTTTGAATTGGGTGAATTCCTTTCGTCCTCATTCTGTACAGAAGTTTGTATATATGATGGTTCTTAGAACTTAATTTTTGTGATCTTTCTGTGTATTGTAATTGGCATCTTCAAATGATTCTCAGTATGTGTTCTTAATTTTTAACTGCTGGAAATGTTTAAAAAAAAAAAAACCTACAAATTAAAATGTTTTCTCAGAGCTCCAAAGTCCTGAAAATGTTGGTGGACAATGATTTAAAAAAAAAACAAAAAAAAAACTAACTTTGTATAACCTAATATTTGTATTCTGTCATCTATATTTTTTTATTCACTATAATCATGATATTCTTCTTGTAGGCTCAAAAGTTAATCACTGACAATGAAAAATAAAATGTTATTTAAAAAGACGCACCGTGGCTGACATACTATGTTTTTATCCTTTATTGTAAGGGATGAATGCTGCTGCTTCTATTGTGTTTTCTTAAAAAGCTAGTGACCCACATTTATATATGCACACATCTTCTTCAAACATAGTTTTTACTCATCTCTGATCATTGTCTCTGATCTGAAGCCCAGACAGAAGGCATTCACATCCCTACGCGTGGCTGTGTGTCTTCACAACCATGAGCAGAGCAGAGCAGGGCCATGGGTGAAGCCCTTTTCTTCCCTCAGCTGGGCCCCGAGGGCTCTCTGGTGGTTTCCATATCACGTATGCCTCTTTCAGCTGCTAATTTGAGAACGGGCTTTGTGTAGTAGTGTGTGCGATTTAACTTGAGAGGCCTGGATCCCTGGAGCTTTCTTTGGGGCCTACCAGGCTGATCTTAGGTGGCAGCAACCAAAGAAGGCAATGGGGTCCTCGTCTCACCCCGGTTCTTGTTTAAACCATAAGAATGTGCTCTCAGCCCCCTCCAACAGGCGTGGGAAGAGGCTACCTCAGAACCCAATAAACTGTGAGGGTCTGCCTCACTGAGTAGCTATCCTCCCAGTTTATTCATACTTGTCAATATCCAGTTCACCCCCAACAGATCGTAGACCCGTGTGAACATAGAATTTTGTCTTCGTAAATCTTTACTCGTTCACCAAGGTAAATATTCATTCTCTGTCAAGTTATGTTAGAAACTGGGTATTATCCACCATACTAAAAATGATCGGATGGGCCCACCCATCGGGTAAAGTATGGAAGCAGCTTGCTTCTGGCAACAGCTTGATTTGGGGTAGTTTCACATTGCGTAGGCAGCCACCCAAAACTGAATAAAAGAGTTCTTACTCCTACAGAAAACTATAGTTGTATCGTGGACTGACATCTGGATTCTTGTTTTTCCCCCATCTATCAGGACAACCCTAACACTACCCAACCCTGGCAGGAAATCCTACCCCAGACCCCTCACCCCAACCGTGTGTCTCACAGGGGCCTCTAGAACTGGGATGTCCTCGGAGAACACAAAGCAGAGCTAGGGAGAGAAAAGCGAAGACGGCTAAAATGTTGCAGAAATTTCCTAATATAAATTATCAATGTGCTCATATATTCACAACCAAGTAAACTTCTCAAACTCTATGCAAACACAGAATTTCCTCACCTTGTAAATCAAGAGATGGACTGAAAAAACGGTCATCAGAGAGAACTGCCCTGTTCATTATCAGTGTCTCCTGGATACATTTCTTCTGGAATGAGGTTCCAGGAAGAACATATAACTCTGGATGCAATGATATATTTCATGATATATTTCAATGATACATTTCACTAGGCAACAGTGTTTCTCAACACCTTTTTTTCTCTCTAATTGCCTTTAAAGAAGTCTTTAGACAGAATTTTCCTCTAATCAAGCTCATGAAATTTTAATATATGGATATATTATATATCTACCTATATACACTATTATATACTGCATATCTATTTATGTACTTTATGTAAGTCTATGCTTTTTGCATTAAAAAATAATAATTTTTGGTCTACCAAAAATCATTTCTCCATCCATTGGGAGTCATATTGCCTTCCTGAGAATGCATACTCTAAAACAGGAATGGTGAGTTGCTCTTTTTTGAATTGGAGTCTCACTCTGTCACCCAGACTGGAGAGCAGTGGCCGCTCCCGGCCACCACAGCCACGACCTGCTGGGCTCCAGCAATCCTTCCGCCTCAGCCTTCCAAGTAGCTGGAACTACAGGCACGCACTACCACGCCCGGCTAATTTTTTGATTTTATTGTAGAGATGAGGTCTCCCCAAGTTGCCCAGGTGGGTCTCGAACCCACGGGCTCAGGCAATCCACTCACCTCAGCCTCCCAAAGCATGGGATTACAGGCTGAGCCACCGAGCCCAGCTGTGAGTTGCTCTTATATTCTACTTTTACTTTGGTTGCCAGGAAGCTCAAAGCCAAATTTAGCTCTCACACAGTCGGTTAAATTTTGGTTTTCTTCTTCTGCCTTCCAAAATGCTTTCTAGCCTATTAAAAATCCATCTTTTCTTTAAATACCTAGTTTAATATGTGCTTTCCCCAAATTTTTATTCAAAGTAGTTAGTTTTTAAGTTATATATTTTAAGTGGAAAAGTTTGGAAGTTGGGAATAAAAGTTGAAAATGAAAATGGAAGCCGCTTTGCATGTGCAGATTTCTTTTTATTTGAAAACCACCCTTGGTGATTGAAGATTTCTTCCTAGTGTCTAAAAAAATTATTTTTTAATCAGTGTTAAGATTATGCTTTCATGTAAAGATTGATCTTTTAAATTCCTTACAGATTTCATTATCTTATGCCCTAGATTCTTTCATGGCATTGGGCTTTGTTTCATGTCCACAGAAGTCTTTGTTGCTTTAATGGAGTCTCACTTTTGCTTTCTCGTTCTATCGCCAATTACTTTTTAGTATTTTACTTACTTTTAAAAGACTGTTTGGGGACTTTTATCACTTTTTTTGCGGGGCGGGGGGAGAAATCGACTTTTTCAGACTTATTTAAACATCTACTGTGTTATTGATAATGGCTCAGAGAAACAAGGAAGCGGCAGGGTCACTGATCCTTTGCACCCAAAGAAGCTAAAATTGGTGGGCCTGGTTTGTTTCCCACTGCTGCTGCTCTTCCCAGGTCTTATGGTGGCCTAAATGCAATGCCTCAAATTTGAGAGGGGAATGGAGGCTCCTGGAATGTTTGATACATGGCAAAACCCACCTTGATCATTCTGATAATGTAGTTTCAGCCCTGGACAAAAGAGTTCTGATGTGGTCCATGAGTCATCATGGGTGGGCTAGAGTAACCAGTGAATCAACACTAACATAGGTGTTGCTATGAAGGTATTTTGTAAATGAATATCTACAATCAGTTCACTTAATAAAGGAGAGTACCCCGATAATGAGTGTAGCATCATCCTGTCAGTGAGAGGTCTTAAGAGCAAAAACTAAAGTTTCCTGGAGAAGAAGAAATTCTGCCTCAAACATCCATCAACTCCTGCCTGACTTTCCAACCTGCTGGCATGCCCTACAAATTTTGGACTTGGCAGCCCTTCCCAGTGGCATGAGCAAATTTCTTAAAATCTCTCTCTCTCTCTCCACACACACACACACGCACACACGCACACACACACACACACAACAAAAGGTAGAGCTCTTCTAGTAAGATGGCATTTGACAGAAAGAGTTGACTAGAGCAGAGAAAACTGGAGTAGACCCCCAGCATCTGGAGACCCCCAACAAGCCACTCCAGTCATGAATGTCTTCATGGGTCAAATGATAAAAATACCAACTGCCACATCATCGTCTCTTGGGGCTGAATCATCCAACAAGACGACTTCCTTCATGTCTCTTTGACCCAGGGCTATTTCATCTGTAGGAAGCTACTCTGCATGCTCAAATTTCCTTTGTTTACATTTGGCACAGCATTGGTTTTCTCTGTTAAAGCATTGTGAGGTTGCTGCTGTGACCAAGAGGGGTGCGGGTCACCCTTCATCTCAGTCCACCCAGACATACTCTGTAGTCTCTCTCTGCATTGCAGCCTCTCATGTCAAGCTCTTGGGTTTTCCAGCTCTCCTCGTTCCACCTGACCCTGGGCAGAGTGACTTGGGAGCTCCTGGTCCTGGGCCAGCCTTACCTAGAGCCCATGCAGTTCTGCTGGTCTTGCCTTCTATTGAATTCCTTGATCTGCAGCACGTGGGACTCCAGAATTTGCTGTGCATCCTCCAGCAAGCATGCTGTGCCCCCTCCTCTAGGAAGGTTCCATGTCTTTTCTAGCATCAGAGCACTGTTTCCTCACCCCTCCTCTTCTCCTGTAATTTGTTCAATTGTTGGCACCTGGATTTAAGCTGTTGCTGCCAATTAACATTTATTTTCCATTTTGTCAAGTGCTAAACTCTATCTATTCTTTGGCTCCTAAATACCATTCTCTAATAAAACAAACCAGGGCTTCTTAAATGGCTGATTTGGGGGCTGGGAATACAAGACAGCCTAGAACATTGTGTACCAGAAGACAAGGAAATGCTGAAGAAATAATGGGGACGTGTCAAAAAGACATCAAAGCCAGCATGAATCAGCTTCTGTGGGATGAGCCACATTTGGGACAATTTGAATGTAAAAATAAATAATGGTAGTAACAGATTTTTTTAACCCGTTAAATAAAGTCGGACTTTTCCGTAAGTCCATACTGATATAAATCAATAAATGAATAAATTGAAAGTTTGATGAGGAACAGAATATTTACATAGTTTCAAAGTATCTTCTCATAAAATACTTACTAATTAGAAAGGGAAAAACAAATTCACAGTGGGAAACAATGCCAGACACTCCCTTGATCAAGAAATAAAGTATAATATCATCAGTATTGGGAGAAGTTAAAATTGTGTGCCTCTGGTGCGATCCTCTGAGAACACAGCATGTCTTCCGCAGTATTCTGCAATGAATCACAAGGAAGTGTCAAGCCGACTTGAGGGACATTCTGTGGACCAACTGGCCACTAAGGCATGATTCCACTTGCATGAAATGTCCAGAGCAGGCAAATCCACAGAGACAGATGTAGATTAGTGGTGGCCAGGGACTAGGAGGAATAACCACTAATGGGTACAGGTTTCTTATTAGGCTGCTAAAAATGTTCTACAATCAGATTGTGGTGACAGTTGTCCAACTTTGTAACAATACTAGACACCATGGAATTGTAGACTTAAAGGAGTGAATTTTATGGTTATTGAATTATATCTCAATAAAGTTGTTATTTTTAAAAAAGAAAACTGGCCTGTAACCTTCAAACGCGTCAAGGCCATGAATGACTTAGCCCTACTACAGGAGACTGAAGAGACACCACAAGGAAACACAACACACGATTCAGAACTGGATCCTTTCGCTACATTGAGTTTACTCGGACAGTGGAGTCTAAGGGTTAGACAGTAGGAATATGGTTATAGTGTGGCTTTGTAGGAGAATGTCCTTAGGTAAAG